TGTTCCACACCTCCATAGTGTAAAGCATCTCTTGGCATCGTCAGCTGATGACAAAAAAAAATTCAATCCACCATGATTCTGTTATTTAAACAAACCCAGGTCGATAAATTAGCTATATGCTATTCTTATACGACGAATAACTTATCCACTCTCAATTCTCAATTCATTTTTTCCTTCCACGATATATCAGAGCGGGAGAACAAATTCTCCTCAACCAAAAACAACTGGCGGATTCTTCTTACAAATTGCCAAGAACAAGATTTTTTGGACAGTAGAACTTCTCGTTCTGTTTAACATCGTAACCTTCTGTATATACTGATTACACACAAAAAGTCTTGAAGAAGCCAAGATGAAGTTATGAAGCTTGACATGAGTCTACCTTAGACAAATATTTCAGCCTACCATTTTAAAACTATAAAAGCTTATTCAATCTTTCTTTTCTGTCAATCTATCTTGCATCACAAGTAAGTACAATAATTGTTCCCAGTCCAATGGTCAAGTCACTAGATTCCGAGACAGATGGTGTACAACAGATTAGAACTAGCAAGTCATGCTTTGCACAAGCCTAACTGAGAAATTTAACGTGTAATTAAGTTACCATGGGATGGTTCTAGCACATAAGTTGCCTAAATAAAATTTAAACACCCCCTTCCCCCAAATTGAAAAGGGAAAAGTCCGTAACTCCTCGTGCTGCCACTGAATATAAACCAGAATGCATAAGCATCAGTCAGAAAAATTAAAATTAAATTTTCTTGAATGGAATCGATAATGCAGCATAAAACCCCAATGTTGACGTTTCTCCAAGACACAGATAAAATGATAAAAGACCTGCTTACTTAACCTTGTTAAGGATATCAAGTTCTTTAAGTATTTACTTTTCTGGTGAAGCTAAGAAACTTCGCATAAAATTTGCAAAAGAAATGCAGAGATATGACTAATGACTTCCACAAGCATTAAAAAATTACTATCATAAGTCTCATCCAAACGGTCAAGGGTTAAAAGCTCTTCATGGTCTGCAATAGCTCTAGTTCTTCGCACTAGCACCAACATAAGGTCCTATGAGCATTCCCCACAGAGTGATGTGACCCAGGTACAGTTTAAGATATGATATTTGTAAGAGAAGTGAAGGTGTATCATGAATGGTAACCAATAAAACCTAATCTCAGCATGCATGTGGACTTTAAGAGCCAAAGAAAAGAACATAAAGAACATACATACCTCAGGACCGTTAAAAACAGAAGGCTCATTCATGTCATTCCATATGTACAGCGAAGGTGTTGAGCCGACATAGTTTTCAAATGAGAACCTGTCGGCCCACCATGATCTGATTTCCGGATTTAGCATATCAAGGTATGATGATGAACCGGGCCAACACCAACCATCAAAATCGTTTCCGGAGGCATCCTTGATATAATAGCCATTCTTGGAGGCCTCCTTGTGTATGAAGTATGACCCGTCACGCTTAATATGAGGATCCACAATTGTCACCAGGTGCCTACCCTTTGCAGCTAGCTTCCGTTGCATCTCCTCGGGATGAGGGAAAGACACCTTATCCCAGGTGAAGTACCTCCTGCCGTCTGTGTGGTCAATATCGAGCCAAAGAACATCACAAGGGATGTCATGCTCATCGAATTTGGAATGCACGTTCTCAACATCCTCCTCATCCCTGTAGTTCCATCTAGACTGGTGATAAGCTGTGGCAAACAGCTGAGGCATTGCAGGCATACCCGTCACACTAACATATCGCTTCACGACATCCTTAGGCCCTGGACCAATGAAAAAGAAAGCATCCACGATCCCAGCCTCGCTCATCCAAAAAGTATCCACCCGCTTCTGCGACGAAGGCAGCGCAATCCCGGAATCAGCATCCCACCCCTCACCGAGAACATCAATCTGCATCTCGGCCGCATTCAACCAAAAGAACCCGGAAGACCCTCTCGCCTTCCCATGGGAAATCATGAAGGGAATCGACCCATAAAGCCCAAAGGGAGATTCATGCACGAACTCAAACACATCCAAATTAAACAACCTATACGGCTCCGAGTGCTCGATCCCGGGTCCTCTGGTCGGTTTCAAGGCCAGACTAGTGGCGTGCTCGGGAATACCGTAAACAAAGTCAGCCCCATAGAACGAAACATCGAAGCTAATGGATTGAGGACCATAAGGCCTAGTATCCGTATGGGACCTGAACCTCTCTTCCCACTCCTCCCCTTCTTTCTTCGCCCTCAACTGCTCGAAGTCGAGCAAGCCATGGGAATTCAAAGACAACACGCGATCCCCACTCGATCTCTCGCGAACATAAACCTCGAAAGGGTCGTGACGGACCACCCCCTCGTGGTCATCCGACAGGAACACGATCGACGAGAGATGCTCGTCGCCGCCGACCTTCTCCGTGGAGAGCCTCTGCAGCCAGAGCTTCTCGGACTCGAACCCGGGGACGACCACATCGGGGACCTGGAACCGTTTCTTGGGGGATTCGAGAGATGGGTCCTCGTCAATCTTGACCCTCAACACGCCATCCCGGTAAACGGAGAGGGTCAGGGCGAGGGGCTTGACCGGCTCTTGATCCTCGCGATCTGGGTCCGGTTCTCTGGGGGCGAGCTTGGCGACGAGATCGCCGCCGGAGACGGAGACGTGGGTGGCGACGAGGGCGCAGGAACCGGGCTTCCGGCCGCGGGCGCGCTTGCAGAACGGGGTCTGGTTGCAGTTCCGGAACTCCTCCTTCTTCCAAGAGCGGACGGAGCCGGGGCTCCAAAGGAGGACGAGGAGGAGGGAGAGGAGGAAGAGGAGATGGGTCCTCATGAGGGGGTGGAGGAGGAGGAGGAGTGGAGATGGTGGGAACCCTAGAGGGACGAGTTGAACGGAGAGCTACGAGAGTTGAACAATGGCGTCGTGGGTCTGCGAGGTCAGTGTCTGCGAAGACTACACCAAAGCGACTCACTCAGTAAGAAGACGGGGGGGCCTGCGCGGAGAGAATACGATTCCCAAAACGCAGCGCCGTTTTAGGACCGATGAGTGCTTCCTAGAACGGTATGTCGTTGTGCTTCCCTCGAATTTGTATTAGTATTTTTCGGGTTTGAGATGAGGACGCAAATGGTCGCTGAACTTTTACCCAACGTGTGATATGGCTCCTAAGCTATTTTGTTCAATGTGATGCTTAATGCGCAATATAGTTCCTGGACTTTTAATTTGTTCAATATGGTCTTTAAATTTTTTTTATACATATTTAATGTAGTCCATGAACTATACGAAAATGTCTAATATTGTATTTTCATTAATTCAAGTTCATGGATAATATTGAATATTTTTATATAATTCAAGGATTATATTGAACATGTACCAAAATTTTAGGGACTATATTGAATAAATTAAAAGTTTTATGAACCACATTGTACATTAAGTCAAAATCAAGTAACCACATTAAACAAATTAAAAGTATATGAACCATATTACATATTGGGTCAAAGATCAGAGATCACATTGAATAAATTAAAAGTTCAGGAATCATATTGTACATCGAGCTAAAATTTAGAGATTATTTGTGTCATTTTGTCTTTTGATTTTCTAGCGAGTACTTTCTACAAAAATACACTTTTCTTCGTATGCAGGGAACACACATAACGATATATATTTTTCAAGTTTTCTTGACCCAATTTCTTCCTAACTCTTATTTTTTTTTTTTCATCTCGGTTGAGATTCTTCACAATGTTCACATAATGTAATTTGTACTTTTACTCTTGTAGAAGTTGGATAAAAATAAACGTGATTTAAATATTTTTTTTCACTAGTTTTCAACCGGTCTCTAATATTGAAAAGTAAAAGCACTATAGTTTTTCTACATCATTGAAATTGAAATGAGAATGATTTTTCACACCGAAATGTATTTTAATTCTGAAATCACACTAAAAAATGCCATTAAAATTTTCTCGAGATCTAACAAGTAGTCCCAATGGGTAGATGCATTCCCCATTTGGAACTATGGATATCATGTGAGCAAAAGCCTTGTCTCGATTGAAAAGATAAGATGCACAAATATTTTTTCACCCAATGAAAATTTATTCTTGAGACATATTGTCATATTCACTTATGGAAAAAGTACTGAGCTCCAGCTAAAATCGCTTGACCCTTTTCTGAGGGTCCGTTTGATTGAAGAAAAACTGTTTTCGAGAAATTTTTATCCGACTTTTTAGTATTTGAATTACGGAAAACTAATTGATTTACGAAAAGAGCTTTCCATGAACTAAAAACAAGCTTAGAATAAAGAAAGATGACTTCCCTCTCGACAAAAAGGAAATCACTTTTCCTAAATCATCAAATAAATGAAAACTAACTATTTTTCTTGAAAATAATTTTCATGAAAAATATTTTCCTTTATCATTAACTTTCCGGTAAAACAAACACATCCTAAAATGTAAATCACAATCCCACACTGAAACAATGTTTGCACCGAATACTCTCTATCGTTCGGCATCAAGTGTCCTTCCAGCATACTAAATAGCAAATGTACGGTGTATAACGTAAAGAGAACAAGGATATGCCAGAAGATCATATCATCTAAATCTCAAAAAAATTGTGATTCCCGTTTCGTACTATGAGTAGAACGAGAATGTTGGCGAATATTTAAACTAGTCAGTCGCATTCTTGGCTTCACAGAGTTACATCTTATTCTCACACACAACGGTGAGAAAGCATGCGGAGGTTGGCATTTGCACATGAGAAAATTAGGCTACATGACCGAACGACCGATCGCTCGTCTCATGGTAGGTTTGGGACCATCGCCAGGAACATGAACAAGCATTACCGATTTCTTGCAAATTAAGAGAGAAAATCTTCTGATACAACTGAAAATTTGAGATCAGCTATCTTCACTGTCGATAAGAGAACTGAAACAAAACACTAACCAGAACCTGTCATCAACAAGAAGTGCATGAGTATGAGGCAAGAAAGCTACGTAGTTCTCGATGAACTAACGAGTGTCTAAAGACCTATACCTCAATGTATTAGCCAAATAATCTCAAGAACAAACATCTTTAAAACAATCATCCGAGCAAGCCATCTCACAATAAAAGATGGTAGAAGTTGCATTCCACATCCCAACCTATACATCAGTACCAGGATCTCCAACACATCCAAAAAACAAGGAAAAAAAAAAGACTGATGGATAAATTCCTTACGGATTACAAAATTCACGTCCATCATGTACAGTGTCCATATCTTTCCTAGACCAGACATCTCCTCAACTTCTATATCGACCTGAATTCTTGTAGACAGACCAAGCCAAATGATGTGAAGCAAGCTTTCTTCATGAGAAACCACTGGTCAAAGGGGCCAATAAAGAGGAATAGAAAGCATTAACGCAAATAATGACTACTTGCAGTTTTGCACCTTACCGCAGAGAGATTCTACCATTTACAATAAGACGGGCATAAGGGCAAAAGAACACTACAAGTTTAAGGCCTTTCTTTGGCATTGCTTCTTTAGCCAGACTGGTCTTTCAAGACAGCCACCTAACACCCTATATTCTGTGTCAGCCAAGCTCCTTTGTCATCTTTCTCCCATCAGTGATTCAAGCAGGGCAGCTTCTTCCTCCTGAGAGAGAGAGAGAGAGAGAGAGAGAGAGAGAGAGCAACCGTGTTATTATTTTCTTTACTAGCGTACATCCGGTATCAGCAAAAGATGACCCTTACCACTAAGGCATTGAACTCAGTCTCTTCATCTATGGCACTTATTATGCAAGGGTCCTCCAACAGATCCTAATAATTCAAAAAACAAAGAATTGTTTCAAAAATATTCCACATATTTGCATATTAATGTGGATTCAGTATTATGAAGTATATGCGTCGTAGACCCATCACAGAACTTGTCCATCACTTAGCTTTTTCATGTTGGAAATTAGAATCATAAATAATTGAATCGAATGATCTCTAGATTGATCAGAAGATCCTTTCAATTGGCTTTTGCCTTTCACATGAGCCGTTAGATCATGTGGGACCATGACTCTCTAGAAGCACACTAGCATTCATACTGAGTTTCCACCCACAGAGTAGAAAATAGATTGCTCGATAACAGACTTAATTACCATATACTATAGTTGTTGTCAGGATGGCATGAGAGAATAAGTCGCAACGCTAAATGCATTCTAGGTCCTTAAATTCTCCAGTACGGGATTAACTCACAGTCATCAGTGCATAAACATAATCAAGAATCCACTCGCACATATTCCAGCATATACACGACATCATGCTACACTATGATTTTCAACTCAATAACCCAGTAAGTATGTCAATTGTGAAGTATCACCTAAAAAACAATAACACCTCCAAGATCCTGGTTAGTATCTAATTTCCAAAGAATTGCAAAGCACAGCTTATTATGCCAGAGCACAACTATGTTTCCTTTAAACAGTTTTATAAATTAAAACATGTTACATAATAGAAAATCAAACAATTCTATATGATATTGAAAGAGAAGTTTGTTCTGTGCTCAATCAGAAACAGGTACAAAACAGCATGTGGAAAAACATGAGAAATCTGTCCACAACAAACATCAAGCTATCAGTTGGTCATCAAATCTTATTCCCAGTCTATGGTAATTCAATGATGTCCAAAAGCAGAAAATGACTAAAGCAACTCAAAACAGAAAGCACCAATCAACTGGAGATCTATCGACTTCAACTCAGTTGTGCACTCACAAACTTCTTGTATTTCAAGATAATATTACTTTTTATGGGGTAATTTAAACTGCTACAAAATAGCATAGAAGCCATCACTGCAATCTATAGGCAATGCATCCCTCAAAACACAAAAAATTAGTGACAAAAAAAATTCTATTCAAAATCAAAATTGCAATCAGGAAAAGAACTGCTTACATCATCAGCAATCTGCAACTGCCCATTGTGATCCTGCAGGACAAAATCCAGCTTGAGAGTTCATGGTTAACTCTAGCAATCACAATTTTTTCTACTCAGCTAATGGGCATCTAACAACATTCAACATAACAGGCAATGTTCTTTCTTCTACCTTTTTTGTGTATTGAAAAGCATGAGTAGAGGAATAAATCAATCACTTGATTTGGGTGAGAGCACAATTTTTTTCATTATGGCCTCAGTAGCAGGAACTTACCTTCACAGCAACAAAAAGAAGTGGATCAGAGGGTGTATAAATCATGTAATGTGCACCATCCTACAACCACAAAGCAACAGAAAGAGAGCATAATAGAATTAAAATCAATAGTTTCATCTAAAATGCCTAGTACCTTATCAATACAGGAGCTATCATGTTTGGAAACCGTTATCTAACGCTATTGATTAGTGCTGCAGGATCATACTGTCCAACACAACAGGTAAAATAGGACAAATGGAAACAAAGTGAAAGGAAAGAGAAAATCATTTCTACTGGGGAAATGATCATTGCATTACCATATGAAAGCATGTAATTTCCACTCCTTCAGTGGGTAAGCCATCAACATCTTGACCATCATCTGCAAGATAATAAGCATCTTGCTTCAATTGTCTTTCTGACAAATCCTCAGGTTTTGTTAATTGATGTTTGTAAATACATCACAAAAAGCAACTGACAAAAACATGGTATTTGCGGTTCCTTGCACATGGAAAGGGGAAGAGGAGAAGTACTTATAACAATTTCAAAGGTAACAATGACTCAAATAATCTGAACAGATAATGAGAATGCAAGCTTTTAGAAAATTGATTATCAAACAAGCAAATATTTCCGTTATAATTATTAAAATTCTAGTGGCACTTTCTAACATCAGGAAGCTGAAAGATGTATAGCATCAGTAATAATTCTGAAGCAAGATTTCATCATTTTATAGATCAAATTAAACCAACCAACATTCTAAATCTGAACTAAGTGCGCCGATTATCAGTGACTTCTTTCTAGATTTGGAAAAACAATTTAAGAATTTATGAAAGGTATTTTGATAGCAGAGTTTCAAATTAGATTGCTCGCCGCTGCCATATTTAAACCAAAACTCAAGTTAAATAAGATGGTCAAAAGTACCGGTCATGTTTAAAATTTATCATCAGCTTTGCAGTGAAACCGCATGCATAGAAATATAGGGATGCTCAGTAGTCTAAAGACACAACACATGAGTCTCCACTCTCCAGCATGGAGTTGATTCTCTAAGAAGTAATCTACTATCAGAAAACTCCCACAAACATAAGAATTCATTTCTAAATCCAATAATACACAGAAGGAGATGCCAAATGCATTAACTGAGGAAAGCCCCAACAGCTTTTATTTTACCTTCCAGAATTATAACCTTTTTACTCAGAGGAAGCAATAGAGAAAGAGAGAGACGATGATGAAGTGAGACGCCAGACCCTACTGAAGTATTGACTCATATATACAGGCATGCATTTCGCACCTGCTATATCAGTATGCCCATCACGTGTGACAAAAGGGGCCAGTGATGCATAAGCAACATATTGACTTACAAGGTTTGCGGGGGAGGCAGGCACTTGCATCAGCATTATCTTGCAAGCAATTATATGAGCTAAATATACCAGTCTACATGTGAATACACATACACCAATAATTGGCACAAGTATGTAAATGCAGTAAAATTAAGTATTTCAAGAGTCAGAATAAACATTTAATTCAGAAAAGAAGGTCATTACCTGTTCGGAAATCAAATATATCATCTTCCGAGTAGCAAAACCCTCCCCGAGCAGTATAACAGAATCTGTTAGGAACAATGCAAGCAAATTAATCCAGCAAAAATACATTTGAAGGGGTAAAAAATAAAGTTCTTATAGTAGAGAGTACTCACCCGCTATATACCAAGTGCATGTGTATCTTTGCAAGAGCAAAAGCTGCAGTAGGGAGTATTGATTCAACTTCTTCGTCACTTACCTAATAAAACAAACTTAGTGAATCTCAACGAGCAAAATATGGATACCACAGCAACAATAGTTCAAGACATTTTTGTAGCTTTAGAAGTCAATGCCCATTACAACACAGGAGAATCTTCCCGATAAAGAACTTCATAGCTACCATTAGCCATCATTCTTAGTATAGCTACAAGAGAAAAACTAACAACTGATTGGAAGTACATGGAGCTTCTCAAGTCCACTCTCACCCAGCCTTTCACACATCCTGTTCTTCTCCCTCCCTACTCCGTCACATCTTAGCTAATTTAGTTATATTTTTCAGAACAGTCATCTTGCTATTGCTCCTTTTTGCTTAACAAAAATAATCTAAGATTTCATTGAAAGAAACAAGATCTCCTCAGAAGTCACTGAGTTGAAGGAAAGAATAACTCATAATCATTCAAGAATTGTGAACCATAAGAAAACTACATCGCAAATGCATTTAGCTCCGTGCGTATGCATAAAACCCTATAATGCATCCTCCTAGTATCTTAGGTTGAAAAACAATGAGCTATTGACATTTCAAATGCTATGGGAAAGTTGTAAGAGAGGCTGGAGAGAATCAACAAGGGGAAAAAGGCATTCACACAAGGAAGAAACATGCAAATCTCAGGTTGAAAAACAATGGGATATTGACATTTCAAATGCTACGGGAAAATTGTAAGAGAGGCTAGAGAGAATCAACAATGGGAAAAAGGCCTTCACACGAGGAAGAAACACGCCAATCAAACAAAAGAAAATGTAAAAGTAGAAAAATTCCACATACATCAATAAGACACCAAACCACTAGTATCAAGAGATTTGTCAACAACAAAAACAGACCTGAATAACTTCAATACTAAAGAACTTTAAATTAGAGACAATGCACATACAGCTGACCAGCCATCAATATTGGTGCTCTTCAATATCTGGACGGGCCTGCTCAAAAACCAAATCCATGTTATAGATAGTAAACGAGGGGACAACTCTATACTTTATAGCCTAGTGTTGCAATGGAACCATAGCTTACGTGTCTGCAGGGCAAAGCAGCATACATTCATCACCGCTTGAACTTCTGAAAATTCTCCTTATAACACACTCCAAGGGAAAGTTGTTAGTAGGATCAACCTGCCAATGACCACTTCAAAAGTCATGAAAACTTGAATTTATCACGAAAAGAAATCTTTATAAAAGAGAGACATAAGACTGAGAAATAATATGTTTAAAGGAAAGTGCATTTGTTATATATCCAATATAACCAGAGCGAATCGTCAAATACCTAAGCCAAAAGTGTGCCTTAGTTTGTACAGATATGACAGCACAAAACACAGATTGTGGATGTCATCGTGGCCAGGTAGCGCATTAAAATACAAATCCAGGGTATGATAATCCTAAGAAACTAGCATACCAGCACCACAGCATACAACACTCAAAGTATCTAATAGTGAAATTATTCACAGAGAAAAATCTTGTACATACTAATAATTCAAAGAACGCTGCCATTGAAAAGGACTACTCCTTCAATCACTTTTCGAATTTAGGAACAGTGTAGTCCGCTACATAAGTTAAAAGTTCCCTTATATTCCTATTTCATTAATAACAGCAAATTTTCATTGAAATGGTACGAAGGGGGTGCCGACCCCTGTGGAAAAATCATCTACAAGGTAAGGCGTTTGACAGATGTAACTGTAACGCATCAAGATCTGCCAATCTAGTGTGATAATTAATGGAAAAGATAATGCAAAAGAGCCATGAGTCATATTTACTTACCTCACATTCCTATTTCACTTTATCCCCTCAACCTCAATTTTTTCGTGTTCTACTGGATAGCTAAGAAAAAAACTATACAAGGAGTGGATTTGAACTGAGATTGGAGCCTAATATATAGTATTCTCAGTAAATTCTTATCTTTCAAAGAACACATCCATCCCACATTGCGGATATGAAGAACAGTTGTCTTAAAACAATCATCCATGTTGCCCACCACTGAGCTTTCAGTCATCAAGCAACCCTCAGATCAAATTTGGCATTGGACTCCCAACAATAGACCTAAAATGCACAGAAGTGTATTGCAGAAGCCAGGAAAAAAAAAACACCATGGACGAGTTCAAACGCGGAATCCCAAATTAACACAACAACCGACAAAGAGAATCACCAACCGACCACGCAAAACAGCAGAAAAGACACACAGGAACCCGACTCAACTCACAATCGCAACCAGGCGCTTGTCCGAAGCCATGACGACCCTGCCCTGATCATCCACCACGAACCCGGCGGGCGGCTTCGGCAACGGCGTGGGATGAAACCCCGCCGCCAACGAACGCTCCCCATCGTCCTCGCCGATAACGAAATTATCGACGACCTCGACATCCTTCGCGTCGCCCGACTTCTTCTTCCTCTTGCCGGCGCCGGAGGACTGGCGCTTCTTCACCGGGCTGCCCTGCGGCTTCGAGGCGCGGCAGAGGAGGGGACCGGAGGCATTCGGCCTCGGGTTCGAGACCGCGAGGAGCGACCGGAGCGAAGGTCGCCCGGGGCTACTACGGCGGCGGTGGGGGGAGAAGGATAGGCCGTGGAGAGAAGTGAGAGCGGGAGGAGCGGAGGTCGAGACGAAGGACATCCTGCCGCGCTGCGCCGGGAGCGGCGGGGGGCTCGGTCGCCGGAAGGGTTCGAGCTTCGGAGGTCGCGTGGTTAGTCTGCAATGGCGGAAGAAGAAGAAGAAGGAAGAAGAATCATCTCTTGCTGCAGAGACAGCGCAAAATGAAGCGGCATTTTCTTAGCTAACACTGAAATATCTTTCGGATTATTTATTTTTATTTTTTGCAGTAATTAAAAGTGAAAAAGAACATAGAAAAGAAAATCGTTAATAAATTAGCTTAATACCACGAAAATCCTTAAATTAGTACACACATGACAAATTTACCCCAAATTTAATTTTTTGACCACGAAAACCTCCAAACCGGTACACCCTTGACAATTTTACCTTTCCTTAGTTTCCGTGAAATTTTACCGTTAAATTTCCGAGTTTGATGTCACGTGCCAGTTGACGAGTGTACCAGTTTGGGTTTATAAGTGTACTAGTCTGTGATTTTTCATTAAGGGTGAGCAAGATGGATCACCCAAACCGGGACCGGACCGGACCGGACCAATCGGCTCTCGAGAATATCAGTCCGATTCTCGGTTCCTAAAAGTGGAACCGGTTTCCGGACGGTCTGGTTCCCAGTTCTAGGGTGTGAACCAGATCGGACTGATAAATATATATATTTCTAATTTTTTCATATATATATTTATTTACTTTTTAAATTTTTTTTAAAAAATAGAAAGTCTAATTTAATTTTCCCAATTCCTTATTGCCTTTACCAATAAGTGATTGGTCCTATTGGAACTGGACCAAACCGGACCGAACTTCGGTCCGGTCTGGTCCACGGTCCCAAGGCAAGCCGATCTGATCTCCAGTCCTAAAAACTGAGAATTGGTCCTCCTGATCTGGTTATCGGTTCTTGAGTTGGATCGGACCGGACCGGGAACTGCTCACCCCTACATTTCATAGTATTAATCCAATTTAATGGAAGGTAAATTTATCACAAATGTACTGGTTTGGGGTTTTTGGCAGTTAAGAAATTAATTTTGGATAAATTTGTCACAGGTGTATCAGTTTGGAGTTTTTATTGTCAAAAAATTAATTTGGAGTAAATTTATCACGGATGTACCAATTCGAGCTTTTTCCATGATATTAACCCAATAGATTAATAGAGCAATTTTCAGAAAAAAAAAATTCCATGTATCTCGCTATGACATGTTTGCAAAAGGATATTTTGCACCGGTGTAAATAGAGAAAAATTAGTACATATCGAGGTTTTCTAAATCACGTGGAACAAGAGACTTAATCTTCGATATGTATGCCTTAAGCGAGAAATAAGATAATTAATTTTTTGTCAAAAGTAAATAAACAAATGGTAAAGCTACCAAGTATTCGATAAATTTTAAGGACCAAGCAAGAGAGTGAGAATGTCGCGAGATCTTAATAAACAAAAGGGAAATTTCGAGATATAAATACATTATATACTTAAATTTTCGAGATAATGACACAAACCGTCCTTATGTTTTAGCCCAATATATAATGTGGTTCCCGAACTTTAAATTCGATCAATATGGTCCCTGAACTTGAGCCTAATATATAATATCGTCCATAAACTTTTGATTTATTTAATGCGGTCCCCTAACTTTTGGTACATATTTAATTTGATCTTTGAACTGTATGAAATGTTCAACGTTGTCCTTAAACTTGATTTAATAGAATAACAACATTGAACATTTCCAAACAATTTAGGAACTAAATTGAATATGTACCAAAAGTTAGGAGACCACACTGAATATATTAAAAGTTTGGGGGTGCATTGCATATTGGGTTACAGTTCAAGAATCACGTTAAATAAATTTAAAGTTCAAATACAATATTGTACATTTTGCTAAAGTTCAGAGATCATTTATGCCATTTACCCTAAGTTTGCGTTTGAGATTCTACAATGGAGATTGTAACTTTCCCTATAAACGAGTACAAGCCAAATGAAGTTTACAAATCTCCAAAAATTATCATAAAGTTCCTAAACTTACCGATAACGCGTTATACCCCCTTTTTTTTTAATATCTCATTTTTCCAGGGCACTGGACATGCCGGAATCCGACCCGACATGATTCATCTTTTTGGCATCCGTTCAATGCTCAACCACAAGAGAACCATGTATTGATTAAACAGGAAGCTGTCAATATCTCCAAAGCATATTTTACGTCGGAGGGACTCTTTAACATTCTCCTTTTCGTTTCGGTCCCTCGCCAGATTTTTCGCTACCAAATTATGAATTTTTCTGCTAGCAAAACGGGCAACGAGGGAATAAAGTGATAGCAAAGCAGTCAATGAGAGACTTGGCATGCAAGATTTGCATGAGTTAGATTCATTCTAGGACAACGGAAGGGATGATTGAAGATAAAACCAGCAGCGTATCCCATGATAATACTGCTAAAATGGTTTCATCTCAAGGGAAGAATGAAGCCTCCCGCTCGCAATTGGTATATGAGACGCCTTGATTCGAAGATCCGACAGCATTTTCATATGATGCACGGGAATCTATGTCGCAGATCTTGCAATTATTCATAAATATGCACCGTGGGTAAATTTCAGAGAGCACTGTTTGATGCCTTCTGACATAGTAAAGCCGATTGATATCGCAAACTAGCATGTCCTCTGCACAGCTTTTGCTGGAAAATGGAAAAGAACCTAAATCTCACAAATTATAAGCCGAGTAGCTACTTTCGCGAAATAGAGAGTAGAAAAGATATCATGGAATGGAACCTCCGGCTTCTGATCTGCTCTCTGCTAGTTCAATATCACATGCAGACTGCTTCCACGGCTAGTTTCTTCGTCGAACCAGGACACGGGTCCTTACTGAAGTCCCCTTCGGTTAGCTCTATAGTACATTCATTTCTGTTTAGGCAGGCCTGCGGCGACGAAGTGTGTCAGAGAGGTTACAATGCTATGCAAATAAATCATTTCTACTCTTAAGACATGAACTTCTATAGAAGCTACAAGCCTGAATACGAAATTAGATAACTAGAACATGGCAAAGACCTTCAGCAACAATCAAGAGGACTGTGCGTCCAGAGGCGGTATAGGTGAAAAAGCATCGAGTCAAGTAGATGTTTAAGGTATTATCACTGGTGTTGTAGAATGTGATTCACTTTCAGGATAAAAAAGTCTGAGCTTTGCCCTCGGCTCATAGGCAGATGACGTCAAATCAGTAACACGTTGAGTTTAGATAATGTTGATCATTATTAGAAGCCAATAGCGCTAGACTCACCTTTTCAACCACGGATTTGGACGAGGGATCGTGGCAGTCCCCCAAGCTGTAAGATCCACAAGATCCTGCCGGATTCCCAAAGCTTGCAAAATTAACAGCAGATATTTGGGTAGAATCGGGGCATTTCAAGTGAGCTCTGGGTGCTTTATCTTGACTGCTGTCATCATCTATATCTGGCTTCCAAGATTCTAAGTCGATGGATGGGTAATCTTCTGCAATAGAGCTGCAAACAGTCACTACAAAAAAATCGGGTTTTTCCGACGAAAATTTCCGACGAAAAATTTTTCGAGCACTTTTCGTCGGAAATTTCCGACGAAATTTCCGACGGAGCACTTTTCGTCGGAAATTTCCGACGAAATTTTCCGACGGAGCATTTTTCGTCGGAAATCTCCGACGAAATTTTCCGACGAAAAAATTTTCGTCAGAAATTTCCGACGATTTTATTTTTCGCGGAACTTTTCATTGCAAATTTCCAACGAAAATTTTTTCGTCGCAAATTTCCAACGAATTTTTGCGACGAAATTTTTTTCGTAGCAAATTTCCAACGAATTTTTTCGACGAAAAAATTTTCGTCGGAAATTTCCGACGAATTTTATTCGTGGCAAATTTGCAATACGAAATATGATGTATTTGATATCTGTCCCGACCCCTAATTTCTCTCTGTCGACTGATTCCTCTTATCCTCTCGCTGTTCTCTCTCCGTCTCTCTCTTTAATTTCTCTCGAATTACTTATCGGTGCACGCGCAAATCAATCTCGGTAAAGCTTTTTCGCCGGTAAGTGTCGTGGCTAATTTCATGAATAATTGGCGACGAAAACGGTTCGTCGCAAAATTATTCTTCGCTGGATTTGTATTTGTTGGTGTTATTAAAAAAAAAATTTTCCTTTCCTCACTGGTTTGGCCGATCGCCGGCCATGGGGCGAGGTCCGGTGGCCTGGCCATGGCCGTCGGTCAACCTCGCCGACGCACAGGCGGGCTAGCCTCGCCGGCCAAGCTCGCCGGCCATGGCGAGCTCGGCCCGCGCCGGCGCGAGGCAGCCCTCGCCGGCACCGGCGAGCTCGAGCTCGCCCGGATGTGGGCGAGATCCGGGCCTCGCCCGGCCATGGCGAGCTCGAGCTCGCCGGCGGCTTGGCGCCCTCGCCGCACCGGCGAGGGCCGAGCTAGCGGGCGGCTTGGCTGGCCATCGCCGGCATCGGCGAGGGCCGAGCTCGCCATGGCCGGCGAGCTCGAGGTCGCCCGGATCTGGGCGAGATCCGGGCGAGCTCGCCATGGCCGGCGAGCTCGAGCTCGCCCGGACCTCGGCGAGATCCGGGCGAGCTCGAGCTCGCCGGCGGCTTGGCGGCCATCGCCGGCCGGCGAGGGCCGAGCTCGCCATGGCCGGCGAGCTCCCGGCTCGCCCGGACCTCGGCGAGATCCGGGCGACCTCGAGCTCGCCGGCGGCTTGGGCGGCCCTCGCCGGCAGGCGAGGGCCGAGCTCGCCATGGCCGGCGAGCTAATGCTCGCCGCGGCTTGGCGGCCCTCGCCGGCAGGCGAGGGCCGAGCTCCCCATGGCCGGCGAGCTCGAGCTCGCCCGGATCTGGGCGAGCTAATGCTCGCCCGCGGCTTGGCCGGCCCTCGCCGCATCGGCGAGGCCGAGGCTCGCCATGGCCGGCGAGCTCGAGCTTGCCCGGATCCGGGCGAGTTCGGGCGAGCTCGCCGGCCATGGCGAGCTCGGCCCGCCCGGTTCCGGCCAGGGCGCCTCGCCGCCGGCGAGCTCGATGTCGCCCGAACTTGCCCAGGGCGAGCTCGCCGGTCGCCGGACCGCGACCGGCCAAGAAGAAAGGACAAAAAAAAAAAAAGAAAAAAAAAGAAAATATAAAAGATAATTAAAAAATTAATTTTAAGTCATTTGTTTTTATTTCAGGTACGTGTCTATTTGAAGGTCTCGCAATCCAAGTGAACGTTGCAATTCTCATCAAATAGACCACTTTCTACTACAAAAGTTTCAGTCAAATACTTGGTAAGTTTTCTTGACATGGTAATTTTTTCATTTTTTTCAAGTTGAAAGTAATTATTTCGTAAAAAAGAAAATTGTAATTGTTAGAATTTTATGGTTTTAATTAACAATATTAAACAATAGATATGATATTTTTAATATTGTACGAGAATTTTTTTATTTTTATACAGACACAATGCAAAGAGACAGGGGTTGGATGTATAATAAGAACCTACCTGGACGTCAAGGATTGACCGATGAGTTTCGAATCGGGGTGGAACTATTTTTGGACTTTGCTAGTAATAAATATGAGTTCATGGATGGAAATAAGTTAAGGTGTCCATGTAGAAAGTGCAGTAATGGAAAATTTCAAGACATTGACATAGTTAGAGAACATCTTTGTAGATTTGGGTTTACTCTGAACTATTATAATTGGACTTAACACGGTGAACCATTTATATCTGATAGCGGATATCGAAGAAGCGACCAAATGTTTGTTAGGGAAGAATGTAGCTATTATGACCAATTGAATCCATATCAGGGGATGGTGTTTGATGAAGCAGGCCATAATTTTTTTCCAGAATCGAATCTTGCAAGTACTAGTTTAACTCCTCCACTTGAACAAGTGGGAACTAGTCATGCATCACAATTGGAAGAGGCAGGAGTTACAGGTTTTGATGAGAATGTGTGTGATGGAACTTTTCAATCTAATCGGTTATGGGAAGAGTTGAAAACAGCAGATGAACCTTTATGGGCGAGGTTGTGACAACCACACGAAAGTATCGTGTGACAAGAAAGATTAAATATCAAGGCGAGCATAATGTGTCTGTGGATTGCTTCAACTCTTTTGTTGAAGTAATGCGGGAAACAATGCCTCGTGATAACATCATGCCAAGTGACTTTTACGATATGAAAAAGCTAGTGGAAAATTTAGGTCTTCCAGTTGTAAGGATTGATGTATGTAGTATGGGTTGTATGTTATATTGGAGAGATGATGAAAATGCAGAATCTTGCAAATTCTGCAGCCAACCTAGGTACAAGATTAACAGGCGGCAAGGTCGTAATCAGAAGCGTAGACCATGTAAATAAATGTTCTACTTGCCCTTAATCCCTAGGTTGCAAAGGCTTTATGCGTCTCAAGCTACTGCTGAACACATGACTTGGCATGCAAATCATGAAACAGAAGAGGATCTAATGTGTCATCCTTCGATGCGAGAGGCATGGAAACAATTTGATAGAACATATCCCGAGTTTGCGATAGAGCCTCGAAACATCGGGTTAGGTCTCGTGTGCGATGGTTTTGCCCCATTTGGGAAATCGGGAAAAAGTTATTCATGTTGGCCGTTATCTTAACTCCGTACAATCTTCCACCCGGTATGTGCATGAAGACACCTTATATGTTTTTGACATTGATCGTGGTAGCCCGCAAAATCCGAAAAAGTTGATAGATGTTTATATGCAACCATTGATTGAAGAGTTACAACGGCTATGGGATGAAGGTGTCCCTACGTATGACGTTTCTACCGATTAAACATTTGTAATGAAGGCTGCTCTTCTTTGGACGATAAATGACTTTCCAGCTTATGGAATGTTATCTGGATGGAGTACAGCTGGGATCTTAGGATGTCCGATATGTATGGAGATATCGAAGTCATTCAGATTAAAGTACGGTAAGAAGGCCAGCTATTTTGACTGTCATAGGCAATTTTTGCCGCTAAAGCATACATTCAGAAGGAATAAAAAAGAGTTTATCAAGAATAGGATCGAAAGAACATATCCACCATTGAGGTTGACCGGTGATCAAATTTGGGAGCGAGTGCAGGAGTTTCCAACGGTTGTTGAAAACCCTCACGGCACAACTATTGGGTACGGAAGTACACATAAATGGACTAAGCGCAGTATATTTTGGGATCTACCATATTGGAAGGCCCATCTTATTCATCATAATCTTGACGTCATGCACATAGAGAAGAACGTTTTCGATAATGTCATAAATACTGTGATGGATGTCACTTGGAAAAACAAAAGACAACTTGAACGCAAGAAAAGATATGAGGATATTTGCGATCGGCCAACACTAGATGTGGATGCAAGCAGCGGGGGACCAAAACCAAAAGCGGTTTATACATTGGACAAGAAGCGGAGACGGGTCGTTTGTCAATGGTTGAAATCGGTGCGATTTCCGATGGATATGCTTCGAATCTAGGGAGATGCGTTGATTTGAATGAATGCAAGTTGATAGGTCTGAAGAGTCATGATTGTCACGTATTTATGGAAAGACTAATTCCAATAGCCTTCAAGGAACTTTTACCAAACTTTGTTTGGGGCGCCATTACGAGTTAAGTAATTTCCGCACGATATTTGCTCAACATTGAAAGCATCACATATGGAGAAACTAGAGAGAGATATTCCAATTATTCTTTGCAACTTAGAAAGGATATTTCCTCCATCGTTCTTTGATTCAATGGAGCATCTCTTAGTTCACTTGCCTTATGAGGCCAAAGTTGCAGGTCCCGTCCAATTTCGATGGATGTATCCATTTGAGAGGTAAGTTTTTTGTTAAATAAATTTTAAAGTACTTCATTATATATTATGTTCCGATAAATTTTTTTGTATTGCAACTAGGTTCTTATATCATTTGAAGAAAAAAGTGAAGAATAAGGCATGTGTCGAAGCTTCAATTTGTAATGCATATATTGTGGAAGAAGTGACAACATTTGCATCATACTATTTTGAGCCGCACGTGCGGGCAAGAGGCGGAGAGCAGGAAGAAATGATGAGGGCCCCATTGATCCCAATTGCAAATCATTCTCTATTTTCAATTATTTGAGTCGACCAAGCGGCGCAAGTAAGTTTCGGCACTTAACAGGTGAAGAAAAGCAGGCAGCCCATACATATATTTTACTGAACTGTCCAGAAGTTGAGCCATACTTCAAGTAAGTGTACATTTGTAAGTATATGTATTGTGTGTCAAAGATTTGCTAATATATAAATGGTATTTGTTAATAGGATTTTCCAAAATTCAATGTTTGGACTACCACCGAATGAGTTCGACCGTTTGTGCCAGGAACAATTTGCAACATGGTTCACAACATATGTAAGTTGTATGTGGAAGAAATGCAAGTTATTCGAATTTTTTATACATCATATATTAAAATATATATTATTGACATTACGTATGTGACCTTAGATTCACAGTAATCATGATCATGCGACGGAGCAAGGATTGCTATATCATCGGCGTGGGGTCCAAAGTCCGAGTACGAACTTGGCCAGCATATTTCATAAACGGGTACAATTTTCACACTCGAACATATGGAATGGGAAAAGCCACAATGAATAGTGGTGTGTGTGTTCGATCATCCAATGGTGGCGATTCGAAAGATGATTTTTATGGGTTGTTGGATGAAATCGTAGAGATAGAGTACCATGGACCATTAATTTTGCGGGTTGTGTTATTTAAGTGCATATGGTTCGACCCGTCAAAGGAATGAATGTGCATACGAAGTTTAATTTGGTTGAAGTAAATCACAAGAAAAGATATATGAAATATGAACCATTTGTCTTAGCACAACAAGCAATTCAAGTATATTATGCATCATATCCTAGTTTGAAACGTGACAAAGCCGATTGGTGGGCTGTATGTAAAACCAAAGCACGGAAAAAATCGAGGAACACTGGAAGGACACAACATATCAACAAGAGAAAGTTTGTCACACGATTGAAACCGATGAATATACCATTCCAACTTTACGAGATCCATGTGGAGCGATGATCGATGTGGATCCAACTGAAATTCGCGAATCAAATTTTGAAGTTGGTATAGAACTTGATTATGAGACAGATGATGAAGATGATGCGCATGAAGTAGATGAAGACGAAGATGAAGACGAAGACGAAGCTGCAGATGAAGATGAAGATGAAGATGAAGATGAAGATGAAGAATATGATTTTTGATACTTTTCACTATTTATGTGCAATTATTATTATTATTGCGACATGTTTTTTTTTTCTCATAAATTTTTGTTATTGTTGTTGTCGTCGTTGTTGTTATAATTAGAATCATGACTAATTCGCCACAGAATTAAAATAGTAGGGAAAAATATTAGAATTTTGCAACGAATTAGCATTTCGTTGGAAAAATTTCCAACGAATTATCATTTCGTTGGAAAAATTTCCAACGAATGAAAATTCGTTGGAAATGTTTCCAACGAAATGTAAATTCGTTGGAAATGTTTCCAACGAAATGTTTTCCAACGAATTTACATTTCGTTGGAAACATTTCCAACGAATTTACATTTCGTTGGAAACATTTCCAACGAATTTACATTTCGTTGGAAACATTTCCAACGAATTTTCATTCGTTGGAAAAAATTTCCAACGAAATCCAAATTCGTTGGAAATTTTTCCAACGAAATGCAATGTCGTTGGAAACCATTTCCAACGAATTTGCATTCGTTGGAAACCATTTCCAACGAAATCCAAATTCGTTGGAAACATTTCCAACGACATTGCATTTCGTTGGAAAAAGTTTCCAACGAATTTGGATTTCGTTGGAAATTTTTTCCAACGACATAGTATTTCGTTGGAAAAATTGCCAACGACTTTGTATTTCATTGGAAAAATTTCCAACGAATTTTCATTCGTTGGAACCGTTTCCAACGAAATCGAAATTGGTTGGAATAATTTCCAACCAATTCTATTTTCGTTGGAAAAGTTTCCAACGACATCCCAATTCGTTGGAAACATTTCCAACGAATTTGCATTTTGTTGGAAAGATTTCCAACCAATTTCCATTTTGTTGGAAAAATTTCCAACGAACTATAAATTCGTTGGAAATCTCAAAATAATTTTCCCGCAAAAAAATATATAAGCAAATATTTTGCCACGAATATGAAATTTGTGGGAGAAACCGTAGGAAATTTCCAACGACGTCCAAAGTCGTTGGAAATTTCCCACAAAATTGAAATTCGTGGGAAATTTTCCAGCAATTTTCTCACGAATTTCAAATTTTCGGAAATTTCCCACTAACTTCAATTTCGTTGGAAATTTCGTGGGACATTTCCAACGAATTAAAAATCGTTGGAAATTTGCCTTGAATTACATCGAAATATTTTAAATCGTACGAATTTCCAACGAATATATGCCCATGTGGAGATTCGTAAGTACTTCATTTTTTTACGTATATATAAATTATCGATGTAAATAAAATTGTTCGTGTTGCGAATTATCCATATGCTTCATTGTCTCATTGTCCGTATTGTTATAACATGTTTTCAGATTCACGGATTCTACGCATGTTGTGAGGGAACTGAATAAAATAGTCAATAACTTGGATGGGCCAGTTTATTACTTTTAGCGGCGCTCCCGCGAGAACTAAAGACTTTGTGGTGGAATGAGTTTAAGGTTAGTGTTGTCTTCCTTCACAAACTAAGTTCGGTGTAGCATATTGATGGTCAATAATGAATTTTGTCACGAATTGTCTGGTACATTGTAATGGATATGTGACATGTGACCCTAGTGGATAATTTTCAGTTGTTTTTCTATTAATTGTAGCGTAAGTTCACGTGGGATGAAATGGAAGAGGATGAGGTTAAAAGAATTTTCAAGAAGAAAATCGGTGATCACATGCGATATGTGATAAATAGAGCAAAGAGAAAAAAATGAAAAGCCGACCTTTTTTACAACTGACAATTGGACGGAAATTACAAGAACTTGGGAAACTGAGAAGTATAAGCTAAGGTGTGAACAGAACAAGAAGAATCGAGCTTCTAGTTCTAGTGACGGGTCTGCGTCTGCCACATATGCTGGGGGCTCTATCAGCATCGGGGAGCATAAAAGAAGAATGGTAAGTCTGTTTATACATGTCAGTGCATTTAATGTAATGATTAGTCATTTATGTTTATATTTTGTAGGCAGATGAATTGGGGACGGAACCCACTTTTACAGCTACATTTGAACGCACATTCCAAAAAAAAGATAAGACATGGACTGGCGCTCGAGCAAAAGCTACTAAGGTATGTAAGGTTATAGTTCGGACTTATAGGAAACTAGAATGAAAATCATGAATGTTTTAATATTTATGGTAATATATATGAATTTATTTTATTTCCATCTATAATGTTAATATAGGAAAAATATGATGAACTTTTAATGAGCATTGCTGGTGGTGATGGTGGTGATGGTGGTGGTGGTGGTGGTGGTGATGGTGGTGATGGTGGTGGTGATGGTGATGGTGGTGATGGTGGTGGTGATGGTGGTGATGGTCGTGTTGTGTCTGAGCCATCGGTTGACAGTATGGCATTATGGGTGGAGGCAGCGGGTGGGATGAAAGGAGGAAAAATATTTGGGATGGGATCCTTGTCAAGGATGTACAAATCGAAGGTTGGTGCAACTTCGTCCTCCAATGCAGCTGTTTCAAGGAGGACATAACGTGAGGAGCAGATAACCCAAGAATTGAGCCAACTGAAGCAGTTGCTTGTACAGAAGGACGAAGAAACGAAGTATTTACTTGGACAGAAGGACGAACAAATAAGGGTGATGCAACAACAACTGCAAATTGTCATGCGACATCTCGACATCGATCGCAATGAGGTTCCTCCTCTTCCTCATATTAATCCAATTGATGATGGGCATAATGCTGAGCCACAAAATGATGCGGCGAATGGTGATGGTGATGATGATGATGCTGATGATTTTATTGTCAGTCCTTCCTAGTTCATTCTCGAGTACCAAAACTGCCAACGTTTTTATGGTTGTCCCGCGTTCTTTCAATGTTTTGAATGTATTACCTTATGTTCATTAGTGCTTAGCTGCCTCTTCGTATTATGAGATTGAAAATCGAATATCATCATATGAGACTTTGCAACTTATGCATTGTAGAAATTACTATTGCTTTCTTACCAAAAAAAAATTAATATTGATAATAATTAGATTTAAAATCGAAATTATCGCTAAATAAAATTCGTCGCAAACTTAGCGACGAATTTTGTCACGAATAGCTTTCGTTGCAAATTACCAACGAAAATTGAATTTTTTTGATGGAAAAAAATCGAATTTCCAACGATTTTTGCATCGAATAATTAGCGTCAAATTTTGCAACGTATTTTCCCACAAATGTTGTTTTCGTTGGAAATTACCAACGAAAATTTTAACTTTTTGGATGAAAATTTCGCGGATTTTCCACGATTTTTTTTGCAACGAATAAGGATGAATTTATATATTATTTTTCGTTGGAAAAAAAAACAATTTATATATTATTTTTCCAACGAATTAAATTTTCGTCGGAAATTACCAACGAAACTTGCAATTTTTTGTCGGAAAAAATTGCGATTTCCAACGAATTTTTTTTTCGTTGGAAATTAACAAGGAAAAATTTTTGTCGGAAAAATCCCACATTTCCAACGAATTTTTTTTTTCGTCGGAAATTAACAACGAAAATTGTAATTTATTGTGGGAAATATTCGGGATTTCCAACGAATTTTATTTTTGTCGGAAATTACCAATGAAAATTCGTTTGTCGGAAAAATTCGAGATTTCCAACGAATTTTTTTTTCGTTGGAAATTAACACGAAAATTGTTTGTGAGAAAAATTCCCGATTTCCAACGAATTTTTTTTTCGTCGGAAATTACCAACGAAAATTATTTGTCGGAAAAGTTCGCAATTTCCAACGAATTTTTTTTTCGTTGGAAATTAAAAACGAAAATTGTAATTTCGTGTGGGAAATATTCGAAATTTCCAACGAATTTTTTTTTCGTTGGAAATTAACAACGAAAAATTTTTGTCGGAAAAATCCCACATTTCCAACGAATTTTTTTTTTCGTCGGAAATTAACAACGAAAATTGTAATTTATTGTGGGAAATATTCGGGATTTCCAACGAATTTTATTTTTGTCGGAAATTACCAACGAAAATTCGTTTGTCGGAAAAATTCGAGATTTCCAACGAATTTTTTTTTTGTTGGAAATTAACACGAAAATTGTTTGTGAGAAAAATTCCCGATTTCCAACGAATTTTTTTTTTTCGTCGGAAATTACCAACGAAAATTATTTGTCGGAAAAGTTCGCAATTTCCAACGAATTTTTTTTTCGTTGGAAATTAAAAACGAAAATTGTAATTTCGTGTGGGAAATATTCGAAATTTCCAACGAATTTTTTTTTCGTTGGAAATTAACAACGAAAAATTTTTGTCGGAAAAATCCCACATTTCCAACGAATTTTTTTTTCGTCGGAAATTAACAACGAAAATTGTAATTTATTGTGGGAAATATTCGGGATTTCCAACGAATTTTATTTTTGTCGGAAATTACCAACGAAAATTCGTTTGTCGGAAAAATTCGAGATTTCCAACGAATTTTTTTTTCGTTGGAAATTAACACGAAAATTGTTTGTGAGAAAAATTCCCGATTTCCAACGAATTTTTTTTTCGTCGGAAATTACCAACGAAAATTGTTTGTCGGAAAAGTTCGCAATTTCCAACGAATTTTTTTTTCGTTGGAAATTAAAAACGAAAATTGTAATTTCGTGTGGGAAATATTAGCGATTTCCAACGAATTTTATTTTTGTCGGAAATTACCAACGAAAATTCGTTTGTCGGAAAAATTCGGTATTTCCAACGAATTTTTTTTTCGTTGGAAATTAACACGAAAATTGTTTTTGAGAAAAATTCCCGATTTCCAACGAATTTTTTTGTCGTCGGAAATTACCAACGAAAATTGTTTGTCGGAAAAGTTCGCAATTTCCAACGAATTTGTTTTTCGTTGGAAATTCAAAACGAAAATTGTAATTTTGTGTGGGAAATATTCGAAATTTCCAACGAATTTTTTTTTCGTTGGAAATTAACAACGAAAAATTTTTGTCGGAAAAATCCCACATTTCCAACGAATTTTTTTTTCGTCGGAAATTAACAACGAAAATTGTAATTTATTGTGGGAAATATTCGGGATTTCCAACGAATTTTATTTTTGTCGGAAATTACCAACGAAAATTCGTTTGTCGGAAAAATTCGAGATTTCCAACGATTTTTTTTTTTCGTCGGAAATTACCAACGAAAATTTTTTTTGTCGGAAAAATTCGGGTTTTCCAACGAAGTTTTTTTTTCGTTGGAAATTAAAAACGAAAATTGTAATTTCTTGGCCGAAATATGAGGGATTTCCAACGAATTTTTTTTTCGTCGGAAATTACCAACGAAATTTTTTTGTCGGAAAAATGCGGGATTTCCAACGAATTTTTTTTTTTCGTTGGAAATTATCACCGAAAATTATTTTTCGCAAAAATTCGCGATTTCCAACGAATCTTTTTTTCGTTGGAAAGTAAAAAAAAAAAATTGTTTTCCGAAAAATTCGGGATTTCCAACGAAGTTGTTTTTTGTCGGAAATTACCAACGAGAATTGTATTTTTTTGTCGGAAAATTTAGCGGATTTCCGACGATTTTTGCAACGAATATTTTGCAACGAATTTTTCCAACGATATTTAGCGACGAAATTTGCCACGAATTAATTTTCGTCGGAAATTACCAACGAAAATTGAAATTTTTTTTCGTCACTATTTTCGTTGGAAATTACCAACGAATTTTCCAACGAATTTTCCAACGAATTTTTCCCACGAATATTTCCAACGAATTTTTCCAACGAATTTTTTCCAACGAAAGAATTTCGTTGGAAATTACCAACGAAAATTTAAATTTTTTGTCGGAAAATTTTGCGACGACTAATTACCAACGAATTTTTTTTCGTCGCAAAATTCGTTGGAAATTCGTTTTCCAACGAATTTTGACGAATTTTTCGTTGGAAATTTCGTTGGAAAACTCTTGTTTTTTTGTAGTGAGTTGACATTTTCCGCTTTGAGAAGGTGACTTTCGTTGGATCGCCTCCTACCTCCTCCAAGATAACAAGAACGTTTCCAGATGGCTTGAACCAGGATCGTGGGACGTGGTACCTGTTCCACATAGCAGAACAAACAATAGATATAACATGACAAGAGACAAATTTCCACTGTATATATCATCAAGTTTGAGAAAGTTGATCCACTAGGCATCATCTAAATTGTCATAGAGAACATCATTCCAAATAATCTTTGGAAGAAGACTGGGCAGTTGCAGTATCACTTTGTGTTCTAATTTTTAGAGTATGAGTTTTGTACCATCTCTGGCTAGGCTCTCCACATCCAGTGACGCATTTGTCTGGCTTGAAGCTGCCTCTGTAGTCGCACCCCTTGACACAGGGGTTCTCAAAGGAGACTAACCTAGGCCAGTAAATTCCTATAGGCTGTCCGTTTAACCATGCTAGTCCTTTTCCCATATGGATCATATCCAGCCCAACAGGTTCACTACCAGTTGGAGGGTCCACAATAGCCTGCAATATATAAAATTAAATTTTGAAAGATGGCACATTTAACTAATAGTGCACTCTTTGAACCAATGAAAACAATTCCAATGAATGCAGCGGGCATTGTCCAAGCACTCTTTACCTTGTACCACGTGAGTGGCTGGTTCTTCGGTGGTTCTGTTGTCGAAACCCAGTTTATGCTTTTCATACCAAATGGCGCCCCCAACTGTTCTCCCTCCAATCCAATCTGACAACGGAGCAAAGAACAGGTCTTTAACTTTTAAGACGACTAAACACTTTTTAATAGAGCACTGCCTATATTAATATTCTTTTCGTGGATAGTTTCTTGTGTTAATCATTCAAGTTATTAGTAGGTTCTGTCTCAGCCCCTCTCATAGGTTACAGTAACTTCATTCCCAACAGAATAGCTGCTCTATGCTGCAAGCAGAGATGGCATTTGTAGCCACGCTAATGTTTAAGCGTCACATGATATGATGTTTCTCTTCAACGAAAGATCACAATTTCAAAAACAAGAAAGATGAATTACAGAAGGAGGAGGAGGATAATACCTTGTAGGTCCATGTATATCCAGATATGTCCAATAACCCCTTGTTCAATCCCTTGATCTTCACATTAGTCAATCCAGCTGGCATCCATTCATAATGAGGCCCTGCATTCTGAAATCATCCAAAAGAAACAACCTAAGGATACTGAGCAATTAATAAAGGGCACAAAGAAGGAAGGACCTTATGAGCCAAATGGCATATAAGAAAAAGAAAGCTCTTGCTAACTTTTTATCTTTATCTGAAAAACGGCTTTGATCATCGTCAGACTCTCTTCCGAGGACCCTTTTAAACTGCACTCCACTACTTTAGTAAAGTTGGCCATTCTTTTGCTAAACAAAAAATTTAATGACTAGGGGCCAAAAGGAAGTTATTCTTCATAAACCTCGGACCAGGAGCATGAACATGGGACTCACTTGAATTCCGACTGTCAAGCTCAAAATAATGATATCATTCTTTCCAGCCTTGAGAGATATGGGAGCAGAGAAGTTGAAAGGTACGTTCGACCCATTTCCATAACCACTACCTGAATATTGACAGTGCAATAATCAAACACCAAAGTTTGAAGTGCAGCTGCGCATTATGAGCAGATGACTGAATGAAAGATCTTCCTCCAACATATAACATGACAAGAGCTCGCCCTTAAAAACAATATGCCACTAAAAGCAGGCCATGGAACGAAAAAGACATCACATGATGAAAAATCCACACTCATGAACTCTCAAGCGAAGATCAGTTTGCACCACACATGGCTGATAAAGACATGGATGAAATGGAGGCATAATTGAAAGCAAATGCTAGGCCACAACTTGAAGGACAAGTGGAAGAAGTTCCCTCTAGGAAGAAATCTCAGAGGAGACACAACGCTAACCTTGAAGTTTCTGATTCACAAAAGCACGGAGACCATGACCCTTTGATTCAACCAGAAGGAAAGGTCGGCTTCCTCCCTTTAGGCAATCCTCATTTTCCGCGACATTTATACTAAGAATATGCAAAGAAAAAGCATTCATCAGAAGTTGCTCAATCAAGATCCGTTCATCATCAAGATGTATACAAGGGCACATTCGCTAGGAAGCTAATCTAACTACGAAGAAAGTGAAGAATCCAAAAAGAGGCCAATTGCTGATAAAAAGTATGAAGAAAGTGCAGAAGAATTAGAAAGGGAGAAAAGAGGAATAGAAACACCGACAATATTATACAGATATATGCAGAAATAATTGACCTCCTCAACTGTGAACGTCGAACATTATCTTTGCTTTTTATATAGTTCCACTTCAATCTGGGACATGGTAACCATATGTATATTTTGGGTAGGAATAATTTATTAACAAATATGCCAGTGACTTTCTACTAGTGATCCTCTTCTCTGCATCAGAAAGGGCCACTATATTTGGGTAAATGAAATCTACAGAGATAAAGAACAACCTTGTTGTATACCAAAGGTAGTCTGTTGTATACTTTGTGGTGTTGAGGTGATCCGCAAAACCGTTCAGACTAAGGTCTTCTTTTCCCCATAGTCCAGGTTTCTCGGTGAATATTTCCCATTTAAGAGCTTTCAGATCCTTATCCAATGATGAGGCAGATGGTATCAAAGATTCTGGTACCATATTGACCACGGAGCTCTGGGAGCGAACCTGTTCGAGTTATGCTGTTAACACTGAGGTGATTCTAGAGAGGACTCGTAAGAAAACCAAAGGCATGCACACCAAAGGGAAAAAATATGGGTCCAAACCCAAGCTTTTGTTTAAGAATGCGATGCATCACAACAAGAAAAATGCTTATTATAAAAAGTCATAGGAGTTCAAAGTGTTACCTTTGCTGAGTTAAATACTACATTCTTGCAGTCAGGAAGAATGCTGACTGACCATGCAGGCAGATGATAAGACATGTTTCGGAATTGTACTGTCTTGTCTTCTTTGTCAGCGATGTTTGCCAGAAAGGCAACACAAAATCCTGAAGAAGTGTAGACATCGGCCTATGCAAATTTTGGTCAGAAAATGACAATTCAATAAGGTTAATCGGGATTGGGAAAAAAAGGTTGATTTGTCTCAAAAGTTGCAACACATAAAAACCGTAAAATATATCATAAAGGAATATAAACAGTAAAAATCAGAATATGCATCATTGCAACTACTAAGTGTGACACTTTTTCTCAACCGTCAACTATCAAGAGATGTTCTAATTTTAATAAGCTTTTAACTGGAAAAATATTCCAAAGTACCCTATCAACTTGCACAAACGAACATGATTTCCAATATAACTCCTCATGTAACTTAGTATGATCCGATTTCATGTGACAAGTGCCAAAGAAAATACGGCAATGATGTTCTGCAGACGATGAAGTAAACAGGTGATTAAGTAAAAAGGTGATGCTATGTTGATGTTAATATTTGATAAAGGTCCCAGTTAGCATCAGAACAGAAGTCATAGCATTGAGAAGTGAAAAACAAACCACAGAAAGAAAGAATCGATCACCTCGGCATTGGGACCTAATGACAGAGTAGTTGGTTCACTGTTCAACAGCGCTTGCTCACATAACATTATGGATTTGTTAAGGTCCTTTAGATGTCCCCACTTCGGGAACCTTGGTAAACCTGAAAGCAAGCAGTCAAATTAGTAGCCAAAATATACTCGAACTTTAAAAGCACTCATAATTATCAATTTTAAACATGCGCATGTACATGCAAACAAACTATGCTTACCATATTCATCAATTGGTGCCTCATAGTCATAACTTGTGGTGATGAATGGCCCGCCATTAGTACGACCAAAATTTGTTCCTCCATGATACTAGGCAAGACAGAGCATAACATAGGTAATTAGTATATGAAAGGATGAGTCATATACAAGGTTAATTACCAATCAAGCACTAAATAGAGGATGAGATACACATCCAAATCTATCTATACATCAATTCATACCGTAAACTTGACTTCCATCATTAGCGATCTTCATTAATGATGGGTGACCTCCTTCATATAAAAGAAGAATATCCACAAAGTTCCGCAAATGATAGAAAACTCAACTAGTAGCATATCCACCTACTTTATTAACCAGTAAAAGGGCGAGAGATTATTTTCTTTCTTCTGGAAAACTAAAACCAGTATTATAAAACAGGACCTAGAGATAAAAGAAATAGTATCATACTTCTACTAAGGAAGATACTTCTTTGCAGAAAAGTTATCAATTGCAACCCTCACATCAAATGTTCCAATTCCTTTAACGTAGGAAATTATATACAGGTACAGTTATTGGACAGGTCGATTGGCTAGTGCATAGAAAAGGGTACGATTCTAAAAGAAGCGAATTTACCATGTAATATTTTTGCACACACCCGCCTTTCTGGAAGAACCGCGCAACTGAAAATGCAATGTCTTCTGGTGGCCGGTGTGGATCTCTCCCCCCAAAAGTCTTAAACCTGAAAAAGGAGGGTCATCATAATTTATCAGGATCACATGATTCAAAAGGAACCACCTGTATTATTTTAGCTGCATGCTCGGTGCATATTTAACAAATAGATTTAACTCTATCAACAAGTTACCATCTAAAAAGGCTGATATCCTGGTCTTTCTATGAGACATCAACAATGTGTCATGAGACAATAAAGTTATGTGGGCTTGTTTCTTAAGTATTTAAACTAGTCCCAACAATTAAAGATCGTTCACCTATGAAAATCAATCAAGCAACTCATTAGTCCATTGTTGCTTGAAATGCTAACTTAAGTCCAAAATTTCTCGATTCCCCAAAGCTACAATTCTCTGCAGCACAACTACAACACGGCACAGATGTTGCACAGCAACAGCAATACTATATGGACTATCTGTGTATAAGGCCATTAGGGACCCGATATGCAAGCAGAGTGGAATATTTTAACCCAAGAGAAGACTTGTCTTCACAATGCTCTCTCGCCAACAACAATACTTAAGTACAGTTTGGAGAAAAACAAATGAAAGAATTCAAAGTTTCCTGACTAAATCGTGTTCACCTGCCTTTCGTAAACAAAAACAGCGGCAATGACTTTACCCAGGAACATCCTAAATAATTAAGACAGTCCCACAAAAAATAAATCCTTAAGATACTTTAAAGATTATTGAACCAGGACAGAAGGAACTCTCCGGAGAAGGTAATATTACAAATCAAATCTGTACTATCACAGATGGACCAACATGATACTAAGGATCACATGCACTGGGCCTAATTCACCAGGTGTATGCAATTTGTGGCCGTAATACAACAGATGCCATAGTGAATCTGCCACCAAATCAGAATTTAACCAAACCAATAATGTAGCACAGTACACAATTCTTCATGAAGGTCCACAGAGACAACCAGCTTCTGCAAACAATACATTTCAAATACTTTGAGAATTACTAAAAGCGTTGTGCAAGTTTAACTCTCTTCATTCCACTTAGTCAAATATTAGATGCAGGTTCTATCATGATTCAAGTAAGGCAGACAAACCAAAGAAAGGCAGGGATAGTTAAAAGGAACCAAACCTAATGGAAATGGTAAAGTATGTGTTCATTCAGAAAGAATGGAAGAACTTAAAGAGAAGTTAAGTGTCATGCCATCAAAATTCTCCAAAACGCAGAGGAAGTGCTATCAGAAAGAATAGGAATCAACTTAAGCATCCTGAAAAAAGACATTACCATCCAGGCCAATTTTCAGTCCAAATTTTGGGCTTCTTTGGAGAATTGGGAACATAATGATCACAATAGAAGGCATTGCAAGTAGCTATCTGCAGAGCACGAGAAACTCCAGTTAAAGATGAATGGCGATAAAATAAGTCTTTGGTTCACCATGCCAAAAACAGGGAATAACGCTACTTCTAGTACTATTTAGTCTCAATAATGCAACCCCTCAAAATCAGAAAACATCAGAGAGCAGATGTCAGAAGTATCCTCATCAAAAGCAAAATATATAGTTAGCATTTTACTGCACACAAATGCTGCAGTGCACTTTCAATGTGCTTGGATTTATGGTGAGACCTTGGTTTCTTAGCCTGAGCTATTGCCCCATTGTTGTCATAAAACAATGTAATCGGCTGTTCAATGGAAGGACCCACTCCTGTTTTGAAACGAATTTCTTCATCCAAGCCGCTTCTTTCGCTGCTTCAGAAGCAGCTACATACTCTGCCTTAGTGGTGGAATCAGCAGTTATGCTCTATTTGGAACTTTTCCAATTAACTGCACCACCATTGAGCATAAAGACAAATCCATAAGTAGACTTATAATCATTAGGATCTGATTGAAAATCAGAATCAGTAGATGCTTCAACTTAAACTCTCTTTCTCCATATATCAAGAATAGATCCTTAGTCCTTCGTAAGTACTTAAGAATAGTCTTGATTGCTATCCAGTGCTCTTCCCTTCATACTGATATCTACTAGTAACGCTTATAGCATGCGCAGTATCAGGTCTCGTACATAGGATAGCATACATTATGCTACCAATAGCGGATGCATATGGTATTTTTTCCATTCACTCTCTCTTCAGGATTGTTGGGACACATATTCTTGGAAAGGTGGATTCCATGCCCAGAAGGCAACAATTATCTTTTGGAATATTGCATGTTAAAACACGTTAACACTTTGTCTATGTACATAGATTGTGAAAGGCCAATCAATCGTCTCGATCTATCTCAATAGATTTTGATACCTAATATATAGGTTGCCTCTCCTAAATCATTAATGGAGAATTTATGTGGCAAGAATAGTTTAATCGATGATATCATTGGTATATCAATCCCGATCAAAAGTATGTCATTAACATACAAAACTAGAAACACAATTGCATTCTCATTGATCTTTTTATATACATAAGGCTCATCCGGGTTTTTTTGATGAAATCAAACGATTTGATTACCTCATCAAAACGGATGTTCCAACTTCTGAAGGCTTGTTTGAGTCCATAATGGCTCTCTTAAGCTTACACACCTTCCGATTACCACATTAGATTCAAAACCCCTTGGTGGTTCCATATGTCTTCTTCGAGGAACCTATTTAGGAAAGCCGTTTAGACATCCATATGGAATATCTCATAGTCAAGGTGCCCAGCTATAGCCAACATGATCTGAATGGATTTTAGCATGGCTAACAATGAGAAAGTCTCATCATAATCAACCCTTTTTTTGACGATATCCTTTTGCTACCAACCGTACCTTGTAAGTTCCAACTTGACCATCAGCATTTATCTTCCTCTTTGTTGACACCTAAATTTTAACTAGTTATTTAGGAACAATTGCATAGAAAATTAAAGATTAATTTTTTTAATCCCTAAACAAAAAATATAATTAGATGGCATAGCATATAGTTTTTAGGAGCATTTATCATATAGCTTAGTTACATTTTGCATATTAATTGGACCGGCGGTGGATGGACTCGAGTGAACGGCTCTGAACTTAATGAAATTGGACTAAGCCCGCGTTCAAGAAAATTCTTGGCCAAGCCCATGAACATTATAAGAGCTAAAATTTTCATTGGAAAATGTCGAGTTGGAAAATATTGATTTGTTAATCTTGATATTATCACGATTCAAACTGAATGAATTGATATTATCACAGAGATATTGTAATATTTTCTTTGAATCAAAATAGGAAATAATTGCAAGCAAAAAAACCTAAACTTTGCCTATAAATACATTCAATGAGGATTCTCTCGGGAGGAGGCAACAATTGAGAGAAACAGAGAGAGGGGGCACCCAATTCATACACACGGAGAGAGAGAAGCAGAGTAGTCGTGTGGCCTTTAGAGAAAAAGAGAGGGGGGTCTTCATCATCATCATCGTGGCTTTTCCTATGTGAGTCCACATTGTGAGAGAAAAAGAAAATCGTGAAGAGAGGGGGATTGAGAGTTCCACGTACGCAATACAGAGAGAGAGAGGAAGAAAAAACAATAGAGAGATTTCCTCTCCTCCTGTAGTTCGCTGCATGTGGCCATCAAGCTCCACGATTGTCACTGTGCCTGTGTTTCTACTACCACTTCCCACGTGGTGACGAGCAGCACGTCCCTCTTGGAGCCCCTTCGGCGAAGTCCAAACTGATCCAAGCCTCAACGACGAAGCCTTCTATTCATGGAGACGAGTCGAGCCTATTGACACCAGAGATTTTCCTCCGAGGCGCCTGCTATTTCCCGACTAGCTCCTGCGACGATCGGCATTGCTCGCTGTCCGCTGCTCTCTGCTCTGTTGAGCTGCCGCCCTTGACGACGAAGAGTTGCTGCTGCCACTCCGTCTTGACGCCCAGCACCTGCCGCTTCTGTTTCGCGACACCCAAAGGCTGCTCATCGCCGCCGGTGTTGTTCCGTGCAAGGTCAATCCTTGCCGGCACCACATTCGCCGGTTCCGTTTGCCGTCGGTCCTCTGATCCGCACTCCCGATCCGCCGGCGATTCGAATTTGGAAAGTTATTTGCGCATTTAGGTAAATATCTCATCCGAATCAATTTGGATATTTTATTGCTTATTCCATGCTTATCGTTATCTAACTTTGCATATTTGAGCAATAGGCACTATTTCAATTAGGATTTATTTCCTAATCCGCAACACGATATGATCTTTTGATTCTATCTATAACCCTTTAGGTGGAATTATTAGATTGCGCGGTTAGAAAATTTATCTTGATCTTTAAGCCTTAAGATTATGATATTGATTCTATTTTTGCGGAAATATCAAGTTGATGGGATAGCGTTGCTAATTGTTATTTTTGGTGGGTGATTAGTTTGTTTACCTTTGATTGCTTACTTTATAGAATATATATTGCACGTTATATAGGTTAGTTTTAATAATAAAAGAAATCCCCCTTGCTTAATTTAAAAACTGCGATTTAACTGAATATTCTTTGGAAATCTTGAATGTGTGTTACTTGTCAAATTTGGATAGAATTTGAAAATTTCGAAATCTTTTGAATATATCCAAGATATTCAAGATAGCAAAATCTTTTCAAGATGTGACCGGTTAGGAAAATCTCCTAATCCGCAACCGCACACATGGGAATCAGTCTATCTATCAGGCTTTAGATAGAGTTATTTCCATAGCGGGTATTTCGAATTTTTAGGGTCGATCTGTCAGGCTCCAGATCGAAACTTAATTCGAAAGATTTAACGGTTATAATGTTTCTATTAAAAGATTTGCGACTTGAATTTAAATTTGAAAATGCATAAAAAATACAAAAAAAATTCATAAAAAGAAAATCTAAATTTTTTTTTTGTACCTTTGAACTCTAAGTCAGAATTCATCAAAATTGCCGAATTGAGCGTTTTTCTTGAGATTGGTACCGAAAGGACGTTAGGATAATCTAGCGTAACCAAGTCCCCGGATTTATAATCTTTGGTTCGTAGAAATAAAATAGTATTCCTGCTATTTTATTTAGGTTTCTAATCAATCTACCTTAAATGATTAGTGGCGGCTCCCATTGAAAATACTTGCATGCTCATAATTGGACATAAGTTGCGAATTGGTAGAGTTTGGGAGAACTCGAGCTAGGTTAGTTAATTTAATTGATCTAGTAATCCATTAGCCTAAGATTGGAAAACCTGATTTTTAGGTCGCGACAGCTTGGCGACTCCGCTGGGGACTGACTTGAATTTTTTGAAAATTTAAGGAGGACTTAGGCCAGAAAATTTTCATGGAAAAATCACTCGATTTGGCAAAATTTGATTGAATTCTCATTCTTAGGTGTTAAATGGTTTTGCAGAATGGGAGTTATAAGGGGAGTAGTGATTGGCTAACCCTTTGTTTTGCAGGCTTGGTGGATTGGAATTGTGATTTAATTTTTGTACTATTGAAGCAGTGTTTGCATGTAATTGTTGTGCATGATTTACCATATTTGCACTACATCACACACAACCTGTGACCGGACCCGGGTCACACCCATAGTTTTAAGATGGTATTTAGATGGTTCTTTAACCTTGGCAGTAAGGCTTCGCTAAAGGTTATCCCATTTGGATCCCGAAAATTTTTCCAAAAAATGGCTCAAGGGCCGTCCTCATGCACATGAGGCTACGATGCATGGGGGTTGCCCTTGTTGACCGAACCAAGCCGAAGTGATTGGACCCGACTAGTCATGACTATTGTATGCGAGGCTGCGACTAGTCATGATGATTGTGCGCGAGGCTGCGACATGTCGTTCCGTTCATCATTTCACTTTGCAAAAGCCTTTAGGGTAGATTGATTAAGATTTAAACTCACGATTCATGTGTATGTCTCTGTGATTGACACTTTCTCCCCAAAGGTGGTAATTTCTTGAGCTTTATCTTTGGTTTTCTTTATCTTATTTTGGGTCGGTCCTTGATTTAGGTTGAGTCATTTGGCACGTGGTCTATATATGAATGGGTCGCCTCGATATCCGTTTCGTGCCTACTCCGAAGCTAGAGCTCAAGAAGTTATGGGGCCAGTTGAAGCCAGATGGTCAGCAGTACGTTCTCAAGCGCATTGGATTCATGCTGCCAATCCTAGACATAGATGTTCAGAGCGGGATCATGCAGGCACTTGCTCATTTTTGGTGCCCCGAGACGACCACATTTGTGTTGGGAGGTAAGTTTGAGCTGACACCGACTCTGGAAGAATACAGTATTGCCATTGGAAAATCGATTGAGTTGGATATAGTTGAACCACCCATTCGGGTAGATCCTGTAGTAGCGCTTGCTAAATTTTTGAGTTTGACCAAAAAAGAAATTGAAAAAGTGCTAAAGGGTAATTGTCAAGCATGCCCAGTATCTTTTCTTATTGAATGTTTCGAAAATAGCTCCGTCCTCATGAGATCTAAGATTTTTATCTTAGTTTTTTTTGGACTCATCATTTTTCCATTCCGTCAAAATGCTATTGATCCTGTGATAGCTTGGACGGTAAAACTAATATGTGGTGGAGTTAGTTTCATAAACACAATTTTGGCAGAGACTTTCATATCTCTGACACGATTCAAGAAAGAAAAAGATAGAACTTTTCGAGCCCCAATTGAGCTTTTACAAATATGGCTTTTCTCACACCTTTCTCAATTTGGGAAAAATATGACTGTATTTGAAATGGGCATGACTAATAACCCTATTTTAAGGTTCAAACAAATACAAGATCAAACTAAGAGTTTGCACTATACATAATAGGTCCATCTATTCAAGGATCCAAACTCTAAGATTTTCCTTTGGCAAGCTGTGTGGTTTCGGGAGGTTGAGGCTCGACTATGCCATGGCGATCAGAAGCCCGTACCTTTGATGGGCATTTATGGGGCAACCAGCTATCAGCCTCTTCGAGTTACACGACAATTCCGAGTTTTGCAGGATGTCCCACCTCCACTCAGGCCCAATGAATTTCAAGTCCAGTTCGAGAAGGGCGAGTGCTACAGAGCCGAGCTTAGGCGTCATTCTGAGGCTTGGCAGAAATGTTCCACTCAGAAGCTGATTTGGCCTGCAAATGAGCCCACCGAAAGGATGAAGAGTCACTTTGCCACGACCCGGTATATTCAGTATCATACCATCCCTGCTGAGATACTCCCGAAGATCCCGGTTGTGATAGTACGGCATACCCGTCGGACCCAAATCAAAATCAGTGAAGAAAAGGCGATGAAGGCCTAGGAAAAGGCAGATGCTTTGGCTGAAGAGAATGCACGATTACAACGTGCCTTGAAGGCCCATTCGTCTATAGATCACGTGGCCTCAAAAAAGAGGAAGACCATTTGATTTCATGTTTGGTTTAGGGAGTTTTTCTTTTTTTTTTTAGGAGGAAATGCTAGCTTACTATTGACGTTTTCTGGTAATAGATGTTGCTGTTTCTGGGCGATCTTTCTAGGAATTCCTTTGAGACATTTTCCATTTTGGGCAATTCAATGAGAAACATTAAGCTATAATTTGTAAATTTTAGAATTAGTCCAAGTTTTTATTTTATTTATTACTGAATAAAGCAATCTGGAATTTTGAAATTTACTGGATGAATCAGTCTTTCGAAAGAAGTTTCGTCTTGGGGGTCTGGAGGATGTCATGGACCGACTCGCTATTCTTACTTGTTGTATTTATTCGATTGTTACTTTCTGTAGGTAATTTGCCACGGATCCCCCTCATCCTTATAATACTCGATCAGTGACCAAAAGAAGGATGGTCAATCAAGCTGAGATTGCAGCCATGATTGACGAAAAGCTAAAAGAACACATGAATGCAATGAATGAGCAGATCGCGGCTACCATGTCCAAAATGATGAGTGATCTCATGGCCAAGCAGCAACAGATCAATGCTGCCTCTCCATCGGAGATTCCACCTCCAACCCGTCAAGGCCTCCGCCTTGACAAAACTCCCGCAGTAAACACTGATCCAACCTTTCAACTGGATGATGCCATTTTGACTGACACTAGTGTATCTCCGGCGGCCCATGTTCTTCATCCACCCCCCAATGATGAGAATGCCAAGTTGCTGGCTAAGCTCGACCAGAGGTTACGTGAAGTGGAGGGAACTCAAAGTGTTCCGCCTGTTGATTTGTCTATTTTTGCCCGGGTCCAAGTGCCCGATAAATTCAAGATGCCAGCTTTCGAGAAGTATGACGGCACCTCAAACCCAATTCAGCACATCGAGATGTACCAGGGGCTCATGAATAGATATATTTCTAACGGACCTCTAATGATCCAATCCTTTCAAGCAAGCTTGAAGGATGCTGCAATGAGGTGGTATACCAACCACCAGATCAACCGGAAGGAGTCGTGGGAAGAGGTGGCAAACCTTTTTGTCAAGCACTTTAAGTTCAATCTCGATGTCACCATTACAAGGAAAGACCTGGAGAGAGCTGAGCAGAAAAAAGGTGAGACTCTAAAGGAGTATGCCACTCGCTGGAGGAACATGGCAGGACAGATCATGCCTGAACCCTCAGAACGTGACTTAATGAAATTGTTTGTGTCCACTCTACCGCAGCCGGTTCATTCACGAATGTTAGTAACGGCCGTCCAATCTTTTAGCCAGCTGATAGCCATGGGTGAGGAGATTGAGTCCGGACTCAAGAAAGGATGGTACAGTGAGTCGGGTTCATCAGGCAAGAGATTTGCTAGTAAGAAGGACAAAGAGCATGTCCCTGAAGTCAACATGACTTATGTACAGAAGACGCCAGCTCAGGCCCCGAAGCTACAATTTACCACCCAGTAGCCAGCCTCTTATGGGCAGCAAGGCCAGCAGAACCCACGCCAGCAGCGCAAACCTCGCCAGTTTACTCCACTTCCTGGAACGTTATCTCAGGTACTGGCGGTGCTAAGGAAAAAGAACTTGCTGAGTTCAGAACCACAAAGATTTAACGCTACCGGCTTTGCAAGGTACGATCCGTTAAAGAAATGCGATTACCATAGAGGTGAGGTAGGACATTCGACAGATGATTGCCAAGTGCTCAAACATCGAGTACATGATCTACTCGAGACTGGAGCGTTTGCACTACAGCCAGCCGGTAAGCTTAATGTGCAGAACAATCCACTCCCTGATCATTCGAACAGTGCAAATGTTGTCCTTGGCCCAGGGGTCAAGCAGGTTCAAGACTTCAGGGTCCCTTTCGAGGATATGTTCGATGCTTTAGTCCGAGATGGTTATGTTTCGACTGGCGAAGTGGTGTCATTCAGTGAAATAGAGAAGAAGGTGGATGAGTTGGTAAGAGAGGGAATGATTGGGACAGCGGATGAATTCGGGGTAGTGGCCACTATATCTCAGGTCATCATTGACTGGAATGAAGAACTCGTAATGTTGACCGATGAGTAAGTTAAGTTGGATCCTGAGCTAACTGACATGCCCCCTCTCGAGGACGCCTCTGACGATGATCTCGGGATCGTTATACCCGATGCTTCTGAAGTATTGGTGCTGGCATCACCTCAGCCCTACGCTTATGAAAGTGACAAGATGGTTCCATGGTCATACAATGTTGATCTGATAATGAGGTCAGGGCGAACTTATGCTGATAATCAACCGGCCAAGCCAGTGGCCGAGAAAGAAGCAAAGGAATTCCTAGCTGTGATTAAGGCTAGTGAATATAGCGTGGTTGATCAGTTGAGAAAGTTACCTGCACAAGTCTCGTTGTTGGAACTTCTCCAGACATCAGATAAGCATCGGGGTGCTCTGATGAAGGTTTTGAGCGAGATTCATGTGCCCGAGACTATTGAAGAATATAAGCTAGAGGGGTTTGTCGGGGCGATCCTCCTCAAGGATCAAGTAGCATTTTCTGATGAGGAAATCCCAGTTGAAGGACGTGATCATAATAAGGCACTTCATATATCAGTGAAGTACAAGGAGACTCACATGGCTAGGGTGCTTGTTGATAACGGGTCAGCTTTGAATTTGTGCCCGTTGGCTACTTTGAAAAGGCTAGGCATTGATCCATCTACCATGCAAGCAGCCAGGACTTCTGTTCGAGCCTTTGATGGAGTAAAGAAGGATGTGATAGGCCAGATTAACTTAGAGCTGCAAATCGGACCTTCGGTGTTCGATATTCTTTTTCAATTGCTGGATATCCCTTCTGCTTTTAATTTCTTGCTGGGATGGCCATGGATCCACAATGCAGGCGCAGTGCCCTCCAGTTTGCATAAGAAGATCAAGTTTGTGGCTGAGGCAAAGTTGGTTACAGTTTATGGAGAGGAAGATCACCGAATCTTCAATGCGACATCGGTCCCATACATAGAGCTTGATCATGTTGAGGAGGATAGCTATCATTCATTTGAGATAGTTCAAGTTGTTCAGGCTTCCTCTGATATGCCGTTGTCCGTTCCTGAGGTTTCTAATGCAGCTATCATGGTGGCCAAGGTCATGGTCGGTAATGGTTTTGAACCAGGTCAGGGTCTTGGGAAGGAAGGTCAAGGCATTCATGCCCCGATTGAGACAAATGGACAATCCTACAAGGCTGGTTTGGGATATCATGGGCCGGGAAGCCGCGGACAAGACCTCGGTTGTTGCAGAGGCCGAAGAGGAGTAGGTCAAAGTCCCTTACCACCTCCCATTGACCACATCTTTCGCTCAGCTGGAGTAGTGGGGGGGGGTATGAGCGTTTAAAGCCGAGCCCGACTGAGGATGATCTCGGGCTTGTCTTTCCTAAGTCGCCACAAGCCCTAACTGACTTGCCTAAGAAGTACGGTAAAGCGATTTTGGTTAGTTTGTCTGATGATTCTGAGGATGACCAGCCACCCTGTATTTTCAAGAAACCGGAGTTGAGGGTGGTGGACATTGACTTTAATGATAGTATACCCTACCTCACCGGTTGGTTTGCTGAGACCTCCATTGGTGCAATCACTGAAGGACCACTTGAAAGGATGGGCGCTGGCCCTCAAGAGTAATTATTTCCAGTTTTCGTATCTCCCCTGCGTGGGAATCTTTATTGCTTTTTTTCGATTTTCATTCATGTTGCATTTAGGTTTTTCAATCCAATAAGATGTAATTCATTGATTCGATATCAGTAAAATTACAGAGATTTTTATCATTTTGAATCTTGTTGAAGTGCCTCAAACCAACCCGATGACGATAACTAACGATTGAAAAAATTTGTCATCTGCGGTAAGAACTGAGGGTTGGGCTTCTCAAGAATTCTCGTCTCGAGGTCTTCGAAAGCAAAATGAATTTCAAAAAGCAAGGATCAATTTTCGAAAATTGCATGTAGTTAAGCCCTGTCTTGTCTTTTTGATCCTTTTTTTTTCATGCTTTAGGACTAATCTCGAGGCATGCGAAGGGATGGGAATCGTGGATCCTCATATATGTGATGCAAGTCAATCCGATGACTCAGACGATTCTAATCCGAATGATGAAGAGATACGACAGAACTTGGAAATCCATGAAAAATCCAAGCCTCTGACTGTTGAAGAAACCGTAGTGATCAACCTTGGCGACACGGAGAATCCTAGAGAGGTGAAGATTGGGGCATGTCTCCCTGAAGATGTGGCCAAACGCTTGACCCAATTGTTGAAGGATTATCAAGACATCTTTGCCTGGTCTTATGCTGACATGCCGGGTCTCGATCGATCGATCGTCGAACATTGTCTACCGACTGATTCTTAGGTTGAGTCCGTGAAGCAAAGGCCGCGAAGTGCTAAGTCAGAACTGGCAAAGAAGATCAAGGAAGAGGTCATGAAGCTTCTTGACGTGGGATTTATTGAGACTACCCAATCTCAGAATGGGTCGCTAATATAGTCCCAGTGTTGAAGAAAGACGGTCGGGTTCGAGTGTGTGTTGACTATCGAGATCTGAATAAAGCTATTCCTAAGGATGATTTTCCACTCCCACACATTGATGTGCTTGTGGACAGCACAGCCGGGTTCGAACTATTTTCCTTCATGGATGGTTTCTCAGGTTATAATCAGATCTTGATGAATGAGGATGATAAGTTGAAAACAGCATTTACCACTCCATGGGGGACATTTCATTACAAGGTGATGCCCTTCGGTCTCAAAAATGCTGGGGCAACTTACCAGCGGGCAATGGTCACGTTGTTCCATGACATGATGTACAATGAGATTGAGATCTATGTTGACGACATGATTGCAAAAACTCAGCGTGGAGAAGATCACATAGAAACCTTGACGAAA